TCTCTCTCTCTCTCTCTCTCTCTCTCTCTCTCTCTCTCTCTCTCTCTCTCTTTCTCTCTCTCTCTCTCTGTGCGCATATAGTACAACTTTCAATTTGACAATTAATTATTTTATTTAATGCACTCCCGGATCAGAAACTATTTTTTGTGAAATGCAAAACTATAAAGTAAGGGTGGGTTGCAGGATGGGAAAGGAGGGAGTGTAAACAATGGCAAGCTCTAACTTGCAAAGTCAAATGTGTCACAGTGTGGTGGAATAAAGCTCTCATCAATTTTTGGGCATGGAGTTATTGGTGTACACATATGATTTTAGAGCTTGTTCATTTGTCTTGCTTTTGATGAAAATACACATTTGTATCATGAATAGAAGTCGCGATATGGGTGAGGGTCGCCTATTTTCAGAGGTAAAATTAGTGAGAAAATGGCTGCTAAAGTTTTGTGACTTCCAAAGGTTGGAACCCTTAGAAACTGCAAATTGATATTTTTTGTGCCTGAACATTTTTCAGTAAAATCCATAGAGAAATGTTTTTTTTAAATGGACCTTAACACTTTTCCATCATGAGGCTCATATATATAGTAAAAACCCTTGCCAACAAAGGCAAAGGCATTTAGGGGGGAACCCAAATAAACTGGGTGGTTGACATCGCCGATCAGCGAGATGTGACGGCAAAATGTTAAAGGTGTTGAGTTAGGTAAAAAAAAAAAAATTCGATTAAAATTGCCAAACGGACAAAAAAAATGCCTGTTTCTTCAATTCTATTATTTCACCATGATGCCTCGCTGAGAAAAAGGGAGATTGTCAGTTATCACTGAGTGGGTGTCATTTGCCAATAACATGTGTACCTCTGGCGACCAGTTTGCTAGCATTGTTGTAGGGCAAATTTATAGTTTAGTAAGGACCATACAACTCAGACCGTAGACAGTTTAACAGGGCAAATAGTATTTTTAAAGGCATTCTTTTTATAAGATAAGATGATGTCCGAGAGGGAAATTTTTCATGCATTGGCAGAACCTTGTTGTAGGTGGGGCTCCAGTTTAATGAAGTTTGACTTTATATGTTTTTTTTCTCATTTTGAAATCATATATAATTTGAACATAATAATATTATGTGAATTTAATGATCGAAGTGAATATTTCTCCGAACGCTCGGGAAAATAAACTTGACCTCTATTTCTCTGAACGGTTTCCGTATTCAAAATTTTTTTTGTTATTTGCAAGAGTTCGGCGTCATCTTTGGTTCTGCCATTTTGCGAGGACTGGGAATCTAAGAAGCATTTTTTGCATCAAATTCAATTTCTAGAGCTAGATTTTTTAGATGCCTGAATATTCAGATACTTCAATTGTGGTTGGGGCAATGTTCTTGGACTAGATCTCTATATTTCATTTGAAAATGCCTTAAAAAGGTACTTCGAGAAAACAAGGCTGCTCGACTTTGGCAGTAACCTATTTTGCATTTAATCACCCCTAAAGCAAAACTAAATCACAAAACTATCTCTCCACGCCCCCTCGCCCACCCCCTCACCCCATTCACACTTTACACACACACACACTCACACGCACAAACACACACACACACACAGGCATGCGCGTGCACGCGGGCCACTCCATTCGCAAATAACCAACAAATCTCGAGAACAGAAAACGTTCGGAGAAGTAGAAATCAAGTTTATTATTTTCCCGAGCGTTAGGAGAAATAGAGCCGGCCTTTAATGATTTGGGGGGGGGGGGGGGGGGGGTGGTGTTCAAGGGGACAGTTCCGTCTTGACTAAACTAAAGTGAAGTGTGTAGAAATGTTTTGACAACAGAGAAAAAAACGAAACCCTACTCGCAGTACTCAGTAGCTGAATGATTTATAGTCAGTTTCACTTGAAGAGACATTAGTACACTGGCAGGTTCGTTATAACACGTTATTTCTATTTATAATACAGTCATACTCCGTTACTTTTGCTCTTAGCGCGGTTCTCTTTTCCCCTTCTCAGTGCTCTTGTCAAGTAAATGATTTTAGGATTTGCACGCTGTGAGGAGCCTCCTGGGGATCATAGTTCATTTGGTGTTTTTATAATTGAGTGAGTTAAAACAGGCATTACCTTCATGTTCCTTTCTCAGGAATTAAAAATCTGGCTCAAGGATTGTGGCCATGTCTGAAATTGAGCATTGGACGTTATAACTTTTTACTTAATCAAAGTGTTTGTAAAGGACTAACTTTTGTATATTAGTTTTGATCATGACTTTATAGTTAAATACTTTTTGATAGCAGTAACTGATTCATGAGCTGAAAGCTTATGAAATGTATGTATATATGATCATGAACTTGTAATTTTTATTGTCTTGTTCCCCAGAATGGCAAGACATTGTAGCCATCGCTGCCATAGACTGTTCCCAGGCTGTCAACCTAGAAACGTGTCGTCAGTTTGATATCAATGCATATCCATCTATGAAGGTTTGTTATTTTTAAAAGTTAAAAAATTATTATTTGATTGAATTTGTAAATTTGCGCACTTGGAGACAAGGATCAGTTTAAGATGATTTAGCTTTACCTCAGACACGTTGAGTACAGAAGTACAGAATATTCATGGTGCCACTAGTTGGTCACCACCATGCTGTCATTAGATTTTTCATCTTTTCGCGGTTTTCCCAATTCTTGATGGAAGAAACAGTCAAGGAGAAAAAAATACAACAGTGACCAGTGTTTGATCTTGAGCTATATATAATAATAATCTTTGTTATTGTAAATTACCAATTCTATCAGTGTCTCGACCCATATTTATACTTGTTCAAACAAAAATTACTTGATTTAGATTTGTATAATATCTTTGCTACTGTAAGTTACCAATTAGATCAGTATCTCCAACTGTACTTAAACTAGTTCACTGAGAAAAATTGAAGTTGAAACAATTAGCTCGGAAAGGGCTGGTTTCTGATACTGTTTTGCAAAGATAAATTAATTGTTGCGCAAATTTAGACAAATTTAGTAGGGGTCTGTAGCGCTGATGTTATTTTTGTCAGGAACATAAAGTTATATGATTAGTTTTAAAAGTAGGGATGTGGTATTTCTCTAAATTGTAAGTTTTAAGCTCATATCAAAAGCTTTGAATTGACAATTGTGATTCTAATATTTGAATAACTTCAAGGTGTTCTTTTTTTTTTTTTTGTCAACAAAACTATCGTATATGGAAGTAATTGCTTTGTGTTTATTTTCAGCTCTTTCCTCCCTCTGAAGTGGAAGACAGGATGAAGAAAGTAGAGCCCTTTCGAACTCAGGATCCATTGGAAATAAAAAAGCTTGTTTTACAGTTCATGATAAAATATACTCCTGCATCATGGCCGAGACTCAAACCGTTAAAGTAAGTTGATTTCTGACTTTGGTTTTTATCTCTAAGGATGGATGGATAAATGGCCTTTGACCTTCTCCTCAGCTGAAGTTTTGACGAATAAGACTAATTATAGAAATAAACAATAGTTTTACAATATTTAGAAAGGATATAACTAACGAGTAGATAAAGAAGATGAGATGAGAGCATTTAAAAGACCCAATTTATGTAAATATTGCGTTTAGTTTCATATTTAACTTTAAGATTGTGATTGTCATGCTACATTTAGGAAACAGGTTGGTGTGTGTGCGTGCATGAGTGTCATTGTTTTGTGTGTGTGTGTGTGTGTGTGTACATTTTATACGTGCATATTTGCATCTTACTTTGAGCAGTATTTTCTTAAATTAATCTTGTCTGCGATTATAAGGTTTTTTGGAATGCCTATATAATAATACATATATAGCAATTCAGATCATTTTTTTATGCAGCTTCTCCTGTGTGCACACAGCTCCAGACGTTTTATTCAAATCCTCGTGAAATAAATCAATCCTTCTGTCTCAGAGGTTTTGTAAAATGTTATCTACATGACAGATTTCTTAATAGAAATAATTCCTGATTTTGTGGTACTTTAGTTCCCATGGAGTTGGTATACTGAATTATGGCCATCATGTTTATATATGTAAAATCCTCAGAAAAATAGAGGATATCTGGCAGGAAAAGCAGGCCTCACATGAATACACTGTGCTCATCTTTGAGGAGCAAAACTCGATACTTGGCATGGAGGTAAGTGCTGTACAGCTGTTAGATTTTTATTTATGCATTGGAAATGTTATAACGTGACTTTGGATTTCAACCCTCCTCTGTGGTTATTGAGTCTACGGTTTTTGTTGTTGTTGGTTTTTTGTTTGTTTGCTTGTTTTACTTTCTGCTTTACTCGTCAATGGCAACTGATATTTATACTTTTCTTTTGGCTTCGATCCCTCAGGACTGGGAAAAAGCATACAATGTACTTGATTTAAAGAATAGATTATTAACAAATCTGTCTGGCTTTTTGTATTTAACCCCTGTCGTATACACTGCTGTTGAACAAAAGTAATAACCCTCTTTGTCCATTTGCTATGTAATGTTTATAAGAGCTAAAGTTATTCCTATATTAGTGACGGAAATACTTTTTCGCAAAAATCATATTTGGCTGCCATGGTCCTTGGCAATCTGCCAGCCGCAGGATGGCTGTCCTCTTCAATGCTGATGTATTCCTGGTGCTTCCAAAAATAAACTCTTACTGATTGCAAATGAAACCTTCAGTTTTGACTTTCCCTTACAGTTCAGGGCATTCACAATCAAAGAGAAGGACAGAAAGAAGGACTACAATATTATTGCCTTCTGCAGCTTCTCTTATGAGAATAGGAAAAAGTACCTGTGCTTGCCAAAGGAAAAATACTAACATCTGTTCTTGTAATTTAATTAATTGCTGGTATTTTCCTCTCCCTGGTGATATTTGCCAATATTTTCTGTTTCCAAAAGCCACAGCTGCTAGTTCTATGATTGTCAAACTTTACCATAACCTGTGAATTTAGAATCTCTGCCCCCCTTTGATCTTTTCCTGCTGTCTGCCTCCCCGACCTCTCACCTCTTGATATATAACCATATACTGTACTTCTACCCATACAGAGTTGAAATCTCAAATTAGATTAAAAATTGACTCCCTTTTCAGTTTAATCACAATGATAATAATAAATAGCATTTGTATAGTGCATACCCCCGCTCGACAGCAAGCTCTCTGCGCTTTATACTAAATTATTACCCCAGCAGATCCTATTACTTTCAGAAACATTCTCGGTGAAGCATACAGTGCAAGCAGCGGATTAAGCGTTCAAACACTAACAAAATGTTTTTATTCTTTCACTTTTTGTTCTGCTCTGTTTTGGCTGGGGAAAATGAGCTTCATTCAGCCCCCCCCCCCCCCCCTTCCCCCCACTCTCTCTCCTTCAGGTTATCCTAGACACGAGACACCACAACAATGTGCTGGTGAGATCTATGCTGAAGGAAGACGTCACAAAGTTTGGGATCAACAGCTTCCCAAGTCTGTACAGAGTCAATCCAGACTCTACCTACACTCTGGTGGCCATGTAAGTAGATGATGTCCTCTGGAAAATTCCTTATTTTCCTGGCTTCTTTTAACTTCAGATGAGTTTTTGCTTGGCAATTGATAGAGATGAAATGCATGATTTATTTACTTACTTACTTGGTTGGAGAATAGGTAACATTGCAGGCGGCACAATGCCATAGCTGCTCCTCCCTCCTCGCCAGGATCCATGAAAGGGTCTGCTTGCTGTTAGTGCCAGTTATCAGTTGGTATGGAATGCATGAATGATAGTGTGACAGGATGTGACTCTGTATGTCTCGGTGGGGGGTGTAGAGATAGTAGATGGGTGGAACTGGCTGATCATGGGAGCTCCTGGGAAGTCTTATGAGCCATCTGTTCGAGGGGATACATGATCATGAACTATTTAAAGATATAATGGACACATGTGTGTGGTCAATGGCAGACCAAACGTGGATGTTGCGGCACATTTCGAACACTCATACACAAGTTAGAAATTGGAATTTGCATTATATTTCATAGTATTAGTATGTGTGTTGTTGTCTGTCTTTTTAGATTTCAGAAGAAAAATAGAATTTAAAAAGTCTGGGTAAATAAACGAAGTTATTCTTTTTTTTTATAAGAGCCTGAAAACAATGCGGGTCTTCAAGCATTGTAAAAGGACCAGAATGAGTGTCCTCAATGAGTGAAAAAGTATTGTGACTTCATGTATTCGTATTTTGTATACGTTTTTGAAAGTATATGTAGGTACATATTAACATAACTGATGTTAACTTTTAGGTTCATGGATTGTACTCATCTGTTTTTAAAATTTGATTGACAGAATTTATGAAGGTTTGAAAATATCTGTTTATTATCTGTTTATAAGAAACCAGTAAAGGTATTCTGAGAAGGGTTAAGAATTAAATAATTTTGTTAATAAATTTGTACTACAGAACAAAAATTACAGTATTTCATCCACCTGAGTCCACTGGTGTTTGTTGGAATTCAACATAAAAATTGTGAGTACATCTCCCTCCTTCATTTAATGCACAGAGGTAAGAATATGGCTGAAAACGACCGGGTCTTCTTTACGAACCTGGTCAAGGCCATGGCAAGAGGTCAGGAGGACAAGATCATGCCGAGGGTCAACAAGCAGAACAAGTTCAAGGTCGTTGAGCCAGGTGTCAAGCTGAAGTCAGAGGTGGCTGCGGGGAATGTGGCGGTCACTGGGAAGCCAAAACTTACCAGGTACTATCTGTAGATGCGTCATGGTATCTGATAATAATAATAGATAGCATTTGTATAACCCAAATTCCCACTCAGCAGCAAGCTCTACGGGCTTTAACAATCTATACGATTACCCCTGCATACCTGACAGCGTACTGAAACAATCCCAATTTCCCAGGAAGCATACAGTGCAAGCTGCCATTTTATAGATGCTAAAACACTAACCTTTCGCTGGCTATAGCTGAGTACCCATTCCCAGCTGGGTGAAATGAGGAAAATTTGTGTAAAGTACCTTGCCCAAACACACAATGTCAGGCCTGCAGCTCAAACCCCTGAACCGGCAACCTCAAGATTACGAGTCCGGAGTAGCCTAACTACTCGACTGCCGACACCACATCTACTCTGCCGTAAGCTGACAAAACGCCTTTTTTTTTTCATTTTGACGCCAACATTTTTTATTTGCTACATCGAAAGCCTGATCAGTGACATATTTTGTGTGAAAAAAATCGAATTGAAGCTGTGACTAGTTTTTTTATAAATACAAATTAAATATCGGAATGACTCTATTTTCTAATGATTATGCTGGAAAAAAAAAACTCCTTTTCTCGAAACTTCTCTGAAGGCGTTTTGTCAGCTTACGGCAGTAAATACTATCTATGTGATTTGTTAACTGCAGTCAAACCTGTAGTCTGAGATGGTTCCCCATTGTCGAGGAGAAAAGTGGTCATCTTAGACAGGTGGTCCTCTCTGACAATGTCGTTATAATGTAGAATAAATAATAGTGGGAAGTGTGGGTGGTTGGTGGATGCTCTGGTGTGGTTTGCTCATTCTTTTCTATAAAAAATCTATCGTCCTGATCTCTCGTCCTTCTTTCCTGTGTTTGTAAGTCTCTTATAATACCTCTAATCTTCGGCTCTTATATGACCTTTTTGAGTTGCAAGTGCTGTAAAACACTTACTAAAACAAAAAAATGGGAAGTCCTTTTTTGTTCTGGTAACTGTATTGGACAGGCAGTCGTTAGATCTGGTTTGACTGTACGTTCATAGAAACGTTTTGTGACTATAGAGGCAATGAATACAGCTCATCCAGGACGTTGTGGCTACTGATAACATTGACCTAGAAAAACCAAATAGATTATATTTGGTAAAGATTGGTTGCTTTTTGTTACTGTTTTTATTTGTTTGTTTGTTTAGGGTGGGGTTTTTTTGGAGGGGGGAGTGGGGGGTGTTCTATAAGGATTGACCCAGGTTTTTGTTGTTAACATCTATCGTCTTTATCTCCTCTCTTTCTTTTTTTTTGTTTGTTACTCCCTTGTAACACCTCTAATCTTCTGCACTTATATGACCTTATTGTGTTGCAAGTACCATAAAACTCTTACGAAAAAAAAATGATCCAGTTCTGTGAGAGTTATCCCCCCCCCAGTAATTTGTGCTTACAGTTGTTTTAAGGCTGTAATGGCCAGTCATGAAGCATGTCAAGTCCCCCAATGGCTGTACTCTTTGCTTATCCCTTTTAGCCATGGATCCGCAAGCCTACAGGAGTTGTGCACCAGAGCTGCCTCGGGTCAACTGCTAGATTTACAGAATTGTCTAACTAAAAAGAGTGTATTGCCTGAAGGTTTTACTGTTTCAGAAATATTATGAAAGGTTGTGGTTGGCAGGTGCTCTGGTGTGGTTTGCTCCTTTTTTACTATCAAATGTCTGTAGTCTTTAACTTTCCTCCTTCTTTTGTAATATATGTTACTGTCTTGTAACAACTCTAATCTTCCGCTCTCAAATGATGTTATTATGTTGCAAATGCCATTAAACTCTTACTAATTCTTAAATTTTTTCGAAAGTGACATTCATTATATATATATTTGAATATCTGTATTGTTCTTGTAACCAAGTGTGACTGCAACTTGTCTTTCTCTTCCCCCCCTTTCCCACACTGTCTCCCTCAGTTCTGTGGTGAGCATGCAAGACTTGGAGTCTGCCCTTCACTACAGCTTCAGGCAAGAGGTGGCCATATGCCGGGTGATTGATGGGGAAAAACTGGTGGCTCTTAAGGACTTTGTGCACACTCTTCTCAAGGTATGGATGTGTGTTTGTGTGTGTGTGAATGCTTGTGGGTGTGGGTATTTATACATTCGTGTGTGAGTGTGTATGTGGTTATTATATGTGTGGGTGTGTATATGCACACGCATGTGAGATGGATAGATAGAGAGAAAGGGTGCTCAAGTGTGTGAAAGAGACACAGAGAGAGACAGACAGACAGAAAGACATGTTAGCATGTTTGAGTCAAAGGGGAATACATGAATACAACAATGGTCTTTTTTAAATACAAGGCAATAAAAAACAAGGCCCAAAATCAGGATAGAAACTAAAGAAATTCAGAAAGTGGAACCCTTTGACAAAGTCCAGTAGCAAGAGAGAATGTTTAGAAGGAAAAAAAGCAGAGATTTTTGTTTGAAACAATGCCGCCATGAAACCGTTAGTACAAAAGAACAGGGGAAAGAGTGCTTCTGATTTATAATATTAAAACTCAATTTAGTGGAACAAAATTGAAGAGATGGTGAGCCGCTTGTTCTTTAGGGTTAGGACAGCGATGCAATACTCAATACTGTAAAGAAAAATGTTTTATTATGTTGATAATCATTCTCTGGGCATTTCAGTATTTCCCCGGCCGCCCACAAATCCAAGGCTTTCTGAAAAAAACCTACGACATGCTGATCAGCTTGCCTTCTGATGACCTGAGTGGAGAGGAATGGATGGACAAGATTGATCGACTTCAGGTGGGTGTGGCGCTCACATTTATGGCTTCTCTCCCTCTTTCTCTCTCTCCCTTCTGGCACTGTGGCGTCATAAGTGGTCAGCGATGCTGACAGCACGCAGGAACTCAACACTCGCCCGGGGGTACTTAAAAAGTTCTGAACGTGGGTCACTCAAATGTCTCAGTAGATGTGTTGTGGCACAATTGTTGGCGGGACATTTAGGAACATGTTGTCCATTGTCTCGTCTTCCTCCTTGCAGGCTCAACAGGACGGTTCTGGGTTTTCCGCTGGTGCAATTTTGTGTAGATTTCATTTTAGCTTGTGCGATTTTTCCACCAGTTTTCATTTGGGAGAGAAGCTGGCGGTCTTTGCATCTGAGCGAGGCCTCAATCTGGTATGATGGCGGCTAGGTAAACAGCTCATTTATGATTGCTGACCGGCATCAGTGATGTAGTGGTTGGGCTCTTTGCCGTAGCTTACAGAAGATCCGAGTTCAATTTCTGTTAGGGGAGAATTTTTATGGAGTGCATGTATCTCGTTTATTTTCTATTGGGACATTAGGTACCCCTCAGCTTGGGTTGGCCCTCGGTCTCTTCCTACCACTCCTGCTGTTTTGAAACCACATTTTTGTGAAATATTTATTAGAGGCGTGTAGTATGTAGTAGTTACAAAGGAAGATATCCGAAAGAAAAGAAAATGTTGCAAGACAATGACATGAAAAGATTGATCAAATGTAAATGTTTTCCACCCCAACTGACACAATTTTGATCATTTTAAATTTTGATTGGTTCAACCCTCCTTATCATAACCGACCCAAGCTGTGTGGCGTAAGGGTAAGTTCTTCCTAGAATAAGGGTGGAGAATCTTGGAACAGCACTGTAGCACTGTCTCTTCACCAGACACAAAAGCTATATTTTTTTTATGCAATGCAAAAATAATGTAAGCATTGCACCAAAGACATGGCAATATGAGAAGGTGAAAGCTAAAATAGAAGTACAGCTGTTTTCATTCGATTTTTCTTTTCATCACTGAGTCTCTGTTCCCTTTTTTTCTCCCCTACCTGACAGGACTCGAACAACTACCTTCCAGAAGTGGTCAAGTGGGAGTCATGTGTCGGGAGCCACCCCCGTTACCGTGGTTACCCATGCAGCATGTGGACACTGTTCCACACTCTGACTGTCGGCGACTACAAACAAAACAGTCATGCCCGTGAGTGACTTGTGGTTTTTTTAATGTGTGGTCTTTGTTTCTCCTGTTACACCTACTTCTTTACTTTCCCTCTGTTGTTTCTGTTGTCTATCTGTCTTACTTTTTCCGTGGGTGGTTGGAGGGTGCTCTGGTGTGGTTTGCTCCTTCTTTCCTATCAAACATGTCGTCCTTATCTCTCCTCCTCCTTTTTTTGTGTTTGTTACTCTCTTGTAACACCTCTAATCTTCGGCACTTATATGACCTTATTTTGTTGCAAGTGCCATAAAACTCTTACTAAAACAAATTACTTTTTTCCAGCGTTAAATGACAATTATTGTGTTGATGTGCTTCTCGTTGCTCAAAAACTCCACAAGATATCTTCATGTGTTGTCAGCTCACTGCATGACTAGTGGGTGGTTGGCAGTAGATATCCGGTCTGCTTCTTCTTTCTTATCAAACGTCTATCGTCTTTATATTTCCTTCTTCTTTTTGTGTACGTTAATTTTGTAACACCTAAAATCTTCAACACTTATGTTGCCTTATTGTGTTGCAAGGACCACCGTAAAACTTTCACTAAAACTAAACTAAAAAGCATGACTGTAAGCAGAATATTGGAAAGGACTTCTGTCAGATTTCTTGGCAAGAGAGGTAGGAAATAGTGTCCAATCAATTTGGTTTGGTTTGATTTGCGTTCTCAGAGTTTAAACAAACTCTAAACTGTACGAACTATCAAAAAACTTTGTAAAAATTCATCTTTAATTTTTTGTTTTCAGGAGCTCGGGTTAATGCCTTACGGAACTGAGAATCTATATTCTCAAATTTGATCTAGTGACCACATCAAGGCGTATGCCTGACAGGAAATATTTCAGAAGAAAAGAAGAAAATTTGGACTCTTCTCTGGGGCTCAAACCCTGATCTTTCAAGTATCAGTAAAGTGGTAGTGACATTTGGAGGCTGAAAATGCTGGATTTGAAGGTTAAATGCTCAACCCTAAATTGTAAAATTGGATAAAAATTAAAGTCTTTTTTCAATTGTCTTGAAAATTCTTTATGATTATTAAACAACAATGAAAATTTCTTCATATTCATGATATCAGTGATGATAATAATGGGTCCTATATAAAGCTTTGTTTTTTAGAGTAGATAACCAGTCACACAAATGTTGGCCCCGAGTTTTATCGACCATGCCAGTTATATTGTATCCACAGACTTTGTTGTTATATTGGAAGAGGATACTGTCAGCCATAATTTGTAGTTTTTTAAAACAAACTCTAAACTGTACGAACTATCAAAAAACTTTGTAAAAATTCATCTTTAATTTTTTGTTTTCAGGAGCTCGGGTTAATGCCTCGGAAGTGCTTGTGAGCATCCGAGGCTACATGAAGTATTTCTTCGGCTGTGAAGAATGTTCCAAGAACTTTCTCAGCATGGCGGAGACTGTGGAGGGGGACGTCCAGTCAAGCAGAGACTCGGTCCTCTGGTTGTGGAGCGCTCATAACAAAGCCAACAAACGACTTCATAACGACATCTCAGAGGACCCTCAGCACCTCAAGATACAGTTCCCTTCTCCTGCCTTGTGCCCCGCTTGTCACAAATCGGTTGTGGCAGATGATGGGAAACCGACATGGGATGCAGATGCTGTATTAGAGTTCCTGACCAAGTTTTATGGAGAGAGCAGTATTGTGATTCCAGAGGGCTTGAATGATGCAGAGTCGGGGAAAAGTTTGAAGGTGGAGGGAAGCGAGAAGGTTGCAGATTTGTCCCATCAGGATCGGGAGCTGGACTGGTGGGAGAAGAAGCAGAGAGAGCAAGACCTCAAACAGATCCAACGATTGCGGAAGAAAAAACAGGAAAAGAAAAGCGGCTTGTCTGCACAAGGAGGCTTGGTGAAGAGAAGTCAGGAGGAGGATGGTGTGATTGTGTACAAGCAAGACGGAAACGTTGGCCACCCACAGAGCCGCGTGTCGGCTCTTTTGGGGGTGACCCAGCTTGATATGAGCATGTGTGTCGTGTTTTATGTGGTCAGCACACTCATCATCCTCATCCTTTATCATCACTTCATAGTCAGACGGCACATGAAGCCCTGCAAATCTATACGTGCCACTGCTCTGTCTCTTTAAGTGTACATTTTTAATTTCTCACACAGCCTCTTAGATAAGACTAATGTTAAAGACTGTATGTTGCCTATAAAGTCCCCCACCCTACTCCACCACACCACATCGCCTATCAGAAATGTCAAATTTAGTGCCTAAATGCTTTGGGAATTTTTAGTTGCTACTTTTCTGGATATTTTCAGAATTGTCAAGGTCCTGTTTCACCTGATCTGTTGGGGTTTTTTTTACATAAGGGGATGTCCTTGTTGAATGTAATGCTTGTTTGTCTTCTAGTGCAGATGTCTTTTTTCTTCTTTTTTTTTGGGGGGGGGGGGTGTTTATTGTTGTTTTTGGGGGGGTAGGTGGTTATATTACCTCTGGGCCCATCGTCCAGTCAGGGGACCATGAGTTCTTCATTCTTTGTGATCTTTTTTATGTCCAATTCTAATATTGTGTTAAATTTCCACACACACACACACGCAAAAAAAAAAGAAACCCCCACAAGGGTTGTCATATGTTCAGCTGGTGTCATGCTGGACTTTGGTGCAGATGACCTTGATGATGCAAATACCTGATGGGTGTGTTTTGAACTTAAGTTGTTTCAGAAGTTTTCATGGCTCTATGCTAACTTGCCTTACTCTTAGCCTTAGTCCTGTTGGAGATTGGCATTATTTTCTGGCGTCACACTTCTTAAATAATCTTTAATTTTGAAATGGATGTTGATCCCATCTAATTAGGCCTACCAGCTGACCAAAAAAAGACCACAAAATAAAAACCAACAGAAAACAAGCTCAAAGTATATATATAATATCTCTGCATTTCATGAAGACTGTAGAGTCTGAGTCTGAGGCCTGAATGTCGTGTCTGTTGGCTGCTAAGCTTGGGACCAGCTTGTTAGGTGTAACCTAAAGGGCAGTTACAAAATGTCCAGCTTATCTCTTGTTGTCTGCTACCTCAGGAGTTTGTCAAACCTGACTTTAAAAAATCAGAGACCCAGAGATTTTATGCTTTCAAAACCAATTGAGTGATGTTGTTTTTGAAAAGGACCAGACTTTAGCAGGATATATTATTATATGTAAGCTCCTCTAAAACTGTGTGTGCATGGGAGTAAGCTCTATTAAAAATGATGTTCATTATATATAGAATGTCCTTGAATTTTATATGTTGCAGGCATTTTTGGGAAGGCTGAGTGACTGGCTCCGTTAACCTTTGTTTCATATCTCTCAATCTGTCAAGTGGCTCAGCAACTGTAGTTTCAGCTGTCTCCTATTTTGCTTTTATTTTTAGGACACTGCAACATCGTTTTGCAGGATATGATTAATATGAAGTGAGGATTTTGCTTCTTTTTAAAAAAATTAATGCTATTGAGATGGTGAGGACTTGAGATGTAGAGCGCAGTTTCACAACTTGTAGACATTCGTTTTTGGTAATGACAATCATTTTGACTGGATGGTCTTGGAGAAGTGATGTAAACTAATTTACAGATCACTTTCCAGTCACCAATGTAAGTTACCTCTACTCATTAAATGAGTATGTTTGGATTGTCTCTGCATGGAATGCCAAAGCTACCTCTGATTTTAATCAGTTAAGAGAAAAAGAATTATACATGAAAATCTTTTCATGGTCTCTATTCATTATCAAGTAGTCTCTGTAAGATTTTTTTTTTAGAATTGCAAGAAATCCTTATTTCTTTGCGAAAATGGCTTTGTGCTCAAGGTTCAAGTGATGCCTGTTCCTTTTTGTGAGGTCAGGCTGTTCTCTACACACCCTGTGTGTAATTTTATCATCCATCTAAAAAAGAAATTGATGGAAATGTCTTACTTGAAATGTTGTATCTAATGGCATTGTATACTTTTACTTCAACATGCATAACGTCTTTTTAATATGTCTAGTCAGTATCCTGCTCACAGCTTTGCAAATAATTTGCTTATATTGAAATAGTTGGGGGGTTTTTCTCTCTGTCTGCGTTATTTGGTGTTCAGTTTCGTAAGCTTCCCTGCTGTTTCTGCACTATTTTTTTTTCTGTTTTTGTGAGGTATATATATATGTAATGGGGTATAATTTTGTGTATTTGCAAGTTTGTGTTTGTGTGTAGCATATGTTTTCCCTTTTGTGAACCTTATTTGTTGAGCCAAGCTCATTTTGAGCTGTAATGGTACGACAGTCCTACACCAAAGATGTTGTTATAACTCATTATGAATAAGTTTGTACTGATGCATGGATGGATAGGTTTTATAGAGGACATGACAGTCCCATTTCACTGCAATCAAACAACTGAAAGAGAGAGAAGCATCTGACTTAGAAAGCGGGTGGTAGGCGGGGCCTATCAAACATCTATCGTCCTTATCTCTCCTCCTTCTTTTTTTGTGTTTGTTACTCTCTTGTAACATCTCTAATCTTTCTGGACTTATATTATGAATTGATTGTGTTGTTGCAAGTACCAAAAAACTTTGACTTAGAAAATACTGCCTATGCTATTTCTTTTTTTTTTCTCTTTTACACTTTGTGTTAATGAATGAAGTGAGCTGTGTCTTTTAAATGAAACGAAAGAGTCGTAATGTAACTTATGTTTGAAGGTCACACCACCGACATTACTGTTACTCTCACCATTCCTCGTATTTATTGAGCTGAGAGTGCAGCAGGCTCACGTATAACACAGCCTCTGATATGTCATTTGTCTACTCAGTCACGTAAGTAAAAAAAAAGCTTCTTTTTCTTTCCTTGACTCCCTGGAGGTTTGGAAACTGCTGCTACAAATGTAATGTAAGTAAATTTGGTAAACAATACTGGATTAAGATGTTGGATTTTGTTACTTGTTACACGTGTGTCGGAAATGAGTTACTTGATTGTATGTCTTTGGGTGTAATAAAAATGATAATAATTGATACATGACATAATTTATAAAGCGCATTTCCATAGTTAACAATGCTCAATGCGCTTTTCAAGGCCTCATCGCCTTGGAACTATTTTGTCCAAAGTAAAGAGTTACTTAAGTATACTTTGGACAAAATAGTTCTGAGGGGACGACATGTTAATTGCCTGTAATGGCTTAAAAATACAGGCGGAGTGCATGACTTTGTGAATTGCTGTACAGATGAAATGAAAATGTTCTTCTTGTTGAGAAAAACACCTGAGTAACATATCTAGATTTATTTTAGTTTAGCTGGAATGTTATGTATACTGCTTTCCTACAGTCTTCCCCCATCTCTTTGATGACTCTATCTTTTCATCACTCTATCTGACTTTTTCTGTCTTTCTGTCTGTGTGTGTGTCTCTCTCTCTCTCTCTCTCTCTCTCTCTCTCTCTCTCTCTCTCTCTCTCTCTCTCTCTCTCTCTCTCTCTCTCTCTCTCTCTCTCTCTCTCTCTCTCTCTCTCTCTCTCTCTCTCTCTCTCTCTCTCTCTCTCTCTCTCTCTCTCTCTCTCTCTCTCACACACACACACACACACACACACACACACACACACACACACACACACACACACACACACACACACACAAACACATGTCGACACATACATATGCACACACGCCTTTTTTATATATATATTACTAACCATAATGTATACTTTTCTAAAAACCCTTTACAAGGATTGCTGGCTCTCATAGTGATGGGTTTTTCAATATATGACTCAACCACCGATGTTTTGTGGTCAAGATGCCTCAAAGGTCACTATGAGTCGAATGCACACAAAACATTAATATACCGAGTTGCACAACGTAGGCTGAAAGGCGATTGATGATGATGATGACAAAGTAGGTTGAAGTAAGAATACTAAAATCATAAGAAATTTACTTTTATGGGTGCCCACCAAGAACATAGCTGTACTCAGTGTGTTGTAGGTATTTCAAGCCATTCTGTCTCACATTTTTGTCCTTGCAAAGTTTATAATTGTTTTCAACATTTCGGCTTGCCTTTCAAAATATATATATGTAGTCCCCAAAGCTGGTACACCGTTCTCTCCATAGAACCAGATTGATTACTGTGTACATTTTTTTCCTCCCATGCTCGACTTGGATTCACTTATTTAAAGAAATTCACAAATTCAAGTGGTGCGCAAAATGTTCAAGTTTTAAGGGGCTCTATTGCATTGAAACATGTGACATTAGGTGACTCAAATTGCAAATTCAAAAGGTTGGCAAAAAGTGAAATGGGCAAAATGCGAAGAAAAAAAAAAAAAAAAAAAGAGCGTGCAAAAAAGTACAGGTGTACAGTATCTTGTTTGTAGTGTGCAGACCGGTGTTTAAATTTGTTACCACACAAGAGATGTACTTATGAAAGGGTTGCCATATCACAGCATTGATTTTCTTTCATTGTTTTTTTGACAACTGAAATCCTTTTTATGCTTTTGGTTGCGTGTGCCCAAACTTGTTTATTAAGTGGGGTTGTTTCTTTTTGGTTTGTAGTGGTTGACCTTCAGACCAGCAAGTTTGTATGTGTGGAAAACCTTGTTATGTTTCATGTATATGTTTAAAAAGGAGAGTTTTTACATTCTTTCCCTATGTGAAAGAAGAGGGTGCTAAAGAGAGCGGGGATGGGGGGGGGGTTGGGGAGAGAAGGTCTGTAAATATTTTTGATATAAAACGAGAAGGATAATTTTTTATGAAATGACAGTCAGAGGTGATAGTTATTTGAGAATAACAGGTCTGGTGAAAGGAATATAACCAAAAGATTGATTTGGTTTGCATGCATTTGATATCCTTAGTGTAGTTCAAATAATTAAACAAATTAAAATTAAATCCAAATGTGAAAAAATGATGTACCGATTGGAATGGAAGCAATTTCTGTGACTGTCTCTTCTGTCCCCAATGTTACTAACTTCTATCTTTTTTTCTCTCTGAATCTCAAGTCTAGACTCTAGATCATTCTGTTCCCAGATCAGCTTGAGTGCTGTGCTATATTCGTTTCATTGAATAATGTTACACTTTTTGACCCTCTGTGTTGTGCCAAGTTTGTTTCCTTGTTATGCTTCTTGACCCTCCGTGTTGTGATCCTGTCTCCGCTGACATGTTCTATATTGTGTCATGAGATTTGTTCACTCAGTTTTGCATGCATAAAAACCACTTGATTTGTTCCATGTACTTGCATTACTGGTACAACTGAGAATGTTCTATGAATTCAGAGCAGGTTACTGTTACATTTTTGCTTTGGAATGCAGTTCTTTGTAATGTTCGCTTATAAGCCCATCTGGCTTTTTAGAGAGAGGCAGATTTTTTAAGTCCAAGTCCAGAATGGTGTTTTAGAACTTTTTTTGTGTTTTTGTTTTTTTGTTTTTGTTTTTGTCTTCTCATCTTCTTTTTGAAAGCCTGGTATGAAAGTGAAAATACTAGGGATTTTTGCTTTGTTGTACAATGATGAGTTAGGATATATGTGTATTTCCTTTATGGATTTCTTGTGGAAAAGTTGGAAAAGGAATGTTCTTTCCATGTAATGCAACTCACCACAAGTAAAGCCATAAACTTTGCTGCCCACCAACTCTTTTTTTAATTTTTGAGAAATTTTTCGGAAGAAATTGATTACCAATAAGTATGATGATGTTAACTGAAGAGTGGCTGGTTCAGTGCTGCCTTTCTTTCATTTGGCCATATGTTAAAAATGACACTTTCACTAAGCATTATATGTATTGGAAAGTATATATATTCTGTTAAAAGTATTTTTGAAGAAATTGTAATATGTCCATTTAAAAAAAAAATATTTTGCTTGGTCTTTTGTCAACTGCTGTCGACTTGTAATGTCCTTTGTCCTCTGAAGTCATATCTTTGTTTCCACACTTTGCAATATAGGACTTGGGGAGGATTTTTTTGTCCTATTTGTTCCTGTTCTACAGATTTTCTGTAAAAAATGTTTACTGACATGGATATTTCTGTAGCTAGCATAATGCTATTGCAGTATCTTTTGATTTTAACTAAATGTAACAGCGTTAAACTTGCTGAAAGTTTTGTTTTATTCTTTATTTTAAGAATGTAATACATAGTGCACATTGCCAATTGAATCTAGTCAAACTGAATTGCGGCCAGCCAGATTTTCCTCCCTGGATGGGCAAAAGCTACCGTTTCGGCACAATAGTATGACCAATTCTAGAACTTAAAAAGCAAATGCGTTTGATTTGAAAATCACCATCGAGTTTTTGTTGAATTCATATGAATTGTGCCAAATTGGTAGCTTTTACCCCTCCATGGTGAAAAATCTGGCTGGCCTCATTTCAATGAAATGAATTTGATTGGCCTTGTGGATTCACTCTACAGCACTCGATTGTTCATTCTTGTGTTCAGACAGTGCCATTAAACTTCTCCGGATTATTTGTTTTGATTTTCCACCTCTGGACAATCACCCACCTAAATGTTTTTGATTGAGGAGTTAAATTACTTACCAAATTAGTCGCAGGGGAATTGGTAGTTATTCACACATGGAAATAAAAGAAGATTATTGTAATGACTGGAATTTATTTGACACCTGATTAAATGTGGGGGGGGAGGGGGGTGCGGAGGTATGGGGGTGAGAGAGAAAGGTATGTCACTGAAACAATGTCTTATCAGAACCTGACCCTTTTTAATTGTATGTGTGAAATGTTGAAATTTTTTTGGGCTTTGATCCATGTGTGGAATGTAGCTTAAACTGCAACAATTTTAGGTTGCGCTATTCCAAGTATGTTGTTAAAGAATGTTGACAACTGGATATTGAAAGTTTTGTTTTTGTCTGAATTGTTTGAATGAAGGAAGTGTAGAGAAGTTTTGCTGTAAAAGGTTGAGGTTTTTTGTTGTTGTTTAAAATTATTTTTTTTTTAGCCACAGTCATTTTCTGTAAAAATTTAAAACTTAACTGCTTGCTCAATGGGACTGCCACATGACTTACTACATTGTTCAGTGCAATATGCATGCTTTCTTTTCTTAGATTTTGTTGCTATCACAGCATATCCATATAAAAATACATTTGGATTATCAAAATAGATGGTTTGCTCTTACTACTGTCACAGGCATCTGCATTATTATAGTTATTCTCGTTGCCTTACTCACAAAGAGGCCAATTCCTACTTTGGGTAGATATCATTTTTGTTGTGTGTCTGCATCTTTGTGCTGGGTTGTACTCCGCACTGTGCAAGTTGGCCTGCCATACTGTGTGTGGTCGGCCCACATTGTGAGGGTTGGCCTATCATACTGTGTGCGGGTTGGCCTGTCATACTGTGTGTGGTCGGCCCACATTGTGAGGGTTGACCTGTCATACTGTGTGTGTGGGTTGGCCTGACATACTGTGTGTGGGTTGG